CACAGACCCCCACACTGGCCTGCCCCAGAGAGCAGCTGCCAGCTACCATGCAGCCCCTGCAACCACCAGGCACCATGCCACATGGCTGCAGCTGCCAACCAGGCCACACAGCCCCCATGACCTCCTCCTCCACTGCCCCAGGCCAGACATGAACCCAGGCAATGCTGGGTAATTAGGCTGGAATGGCAGGGGCCATGCTATTGGCCAGTGGCTGCTCCCTGGGGTCTATCTGGGATATAACTGTCTCTGCTATCACATCCCTCCTTTTCCGTTTGATGAGAAACAATCCCATTCCAGGCACATCCTCTTGTCCTGGCACAGCCAAACCCCGACCTTGCTTTAAGTTATGATAAGAGGAAGCTGCATCCCAAATTTGGCGGTCCTAGCTCGTACTGTTTCAACTGAGTAAGTCGTCTGTGCCCATGAAAGCTCATGATACCATCGACATTTTTGGTTAGTCTCTGAAGTGCTGCAAGACTCTTCGTTGTTGTTTTTTAAGTTTATTTGTTTAGGAGGAGTTCCTGAATGAACGGATTCAAGGACGGACAGAGGCACAAACTCTCCCAAATCGTAGACTAGAAGAGTTACCCGGCGTTGACTGGGTCCATTACACAAATCGTTTTTCTTCATTGAAATCATTGCTCCGGGATAGGGTTGTGGCTGAGGGGTTCAGTAGGCAGCTTGCCCTGTGGAGAGAGGACTTCCCCAGACGTCTCTCACTGCAGCAGCTTGGGGCCAGGTGAGAAGCACCTCTCCATGACTGCTGCAGCTCCAGCGGGCACAGCTGGGGCCGGTCCAGGTTCTTCTGCCCTCCATGCCTCAGCCAGAGTGAGGAATGCAGCAAACAGTGCACTTTCCCCTCGCTCCCTGATGCAGGGGAACAGCCAGTATGGATCAGGTAGGGGGACTTCAGCCCCTCCCTCCTTAAAAAGCACCTGGGGGATGGGAGGCTCGGGGTTGGGGCAGTCCCGGACAGGGGTGGGGGACTCATTGCATCAGCCCCTAGCCAGTCCCTTTCACCTGCCGGGTGAGTCTGTCTCTTTTCTGTCTGTTTTATGAGACGCAATCCCATTCCAGGCACATCCCCTTGTCCTGGCACAACCCAACCCTTGACCTTGCCGTAAGTTAGGAGACTAGGAAGCTGCCTACCAAATATGGTGGTCCTAGCTCTTACTGTTTAGGAGGAGTTCTTGAACAGACAGACACATTCTCTCAACTAGATACAGATTTACACCAACTTCAGCAGAGCTACCCCGGACTTAGAGATCAGAATCCAGCTCCTTTGAGATCTAGGATCATAGCCAACGGAGATGGAAAGTTGGGGCTGGATGGCTGAGTCAATGCACTGTGTAGACTGGGTGCACGCTAGGAGATGAACTGGGTATTAGACTAGGTAGTGGCCAAGGGGGATTTCCAAGCAGTACAGCTGGGACAGGAACCGGTCTGCACAAGGAAATGGGCATGGCCAGGGGGCCCCGTGTTCCCTTTGCTGCTAGTAAAACATCGGGTGTTTGGCAAGTATCTCCGCCCCTCCCAGCCCAAAGCAGCCTGAGTCTGAACCTGAAATCAGGAGGAGCTCGTCTGAAATTAGCAAACTTGAGTGGGTGTAACCCTAGTGCTGCTGAGCTCAGAAGCAGGCCCAGGAACTACCTTCCAACTATATCTCTCACCTCTCTCACTCTATATCTCTTTCCTATGCTCTGCGCTTCCTCCTACCTCATAGGCCCTGAGTGACCCCTCCTCAAGCCCCTTCCTTCACCTCCCTCCTTACAAATCATGCCTGGCTCGTAGCCCCACTGCCCCTGCTTCTCTCTGGCCTCCACACTCACACCTCAGTCCTTTGCTTTGCACTCAGCCACAGCCCCAATCCTGCTCCGTGCTCTGGGCGGGCGGACCCAGGCACGTGCTATAAGAGCCTCATTGATATTAACAGGGCTCCATTTCATTCTAGGGCAGGGGTGGGCAAGATACGGCCCCGCGGGCCAGAGCCGGTCCACCAAGCCACTAGATCCAGCCTGCAGGCGGCCTGATCCAGTCCACAGGATCCACCCTGCCGGGACCCTCAGACACAGAGCAGCCAGCTGCTTCCAAGGAGCCCCACTCTGCTTTAAGCAGCTGGCTGCTCCCTGTGGCTTTCTGCTGTGCGGGAGGGGGAAGGTTGGGGAGTCCCCATCATTGGAGGATTTTGGAAATAGGTTGAACAAACACTTGTCAGAGAGGGTCTAGGTTTACTGGCCCCTCTTCAGAACAGGACTTGGTGACTTCCGAAGTCCCTTCCAATCCTCCACTTCTCTGATTTCTCTGGGCCCAAGAGTCAACCTAGTGGAGCTCCAAACAAGGCACTTGTGTAGCGATCAGTCAGAGGGAGGTATGCACCCATCACCTAGGGCAGTGGTTCCCAACCTGTGGTCCGCAGAGCCCCGGTGGTCCGCCACGGTACTGCAGGGGGTCCGCAGAGAGTTTAAAATAGAGATTAAAGTAAGTGTGCATAGGGTTGCCAGGTGTCCAGTATTGACCCAGACAGTCTGGTATTTTCGCCTCCTATCTGGTAAAAAAAATTCAGAAAATACCGGACACCTAAAATGTCCAGTATTTTCTGATATTTTTTCCCCGGCCAGGAGGTGAAAATACTGGACACCTGGCAACTCTACGACACACTCAGCAACTGAGCCCAGCCCCTGGCCCAGCCTGGGTCCTGACACCCCCAACTCCCCTACTTACCTGGTTCTGCAGGGAAGCTGTGTTCTGGCTTGATCAATAAAACCAAATGGCCACTGGCAAAAAGCCTAAAGACCAAGGGGAAGCAACGCCTTCCCTGGGTCTTAGTGTTCAACCACTCCCCTGTTCCTATCCCTATTCTAACTCTGCACTCACTCTGAAAGAGGCCATGCTGTTTTAATGCTGTTTTATTATTTGTTTATTTTGCTTAATAAGTCTCGGAATCCTTTTTTTTTGCTCAACAACTTTGGTCTCCTCAACAGAATTTTTTCCCCGGTGTTATTTTTTTGTGGGGGAGGGTGTTCGGTATTTTTGGTTCAACCATCTGGCAACCCTAAGTGTGGAGCGTATACAAACACTTATGTATTTAATTAATAAATCTTCGAATATTGTGTAATTATAAATATATATTAACTATTTAGTCCCGTGATCATGTGACGTGAATACAACACCCCTCTCTAACTGTTCAAAAGCTATTAGAGTGGCGAGAAGGATTTAGTTGGCCTAGAGCAGTGTTTCCCTTTTTTATTTATTTTTTTTATTTTGCGTGACAAATTCTGGTTGGTCTTTTTTTTTTTTGCATGTGACGTGAATACAACACCCCGCTCTAATTGTTCAAAAGCTATTAGAGTGGCGAGAAGGATTTAGTTGGCCTAGAGCAGTGTTTCCCTTTTTTATTTATTTTTTTTATTTTGCGTGACAAATTCTGGTTGGTCTTTTTTTTTTTTTGCTTGACAAATTTTACCCTGGCAACCCTAAGGGTTCCTTGAAATTCTTTTAAGCTGAAAAGGGTTCCGTGGCCAAATAAAATTGGGAAACACTGGGTTAGAGGGGTCTGTAAAATTGTAATAGATTGAAAAAGTGTCCATATGCTCAAAAAGATTGGGAGCCATTGACCTAGGGCGAAATGGGGTTCTTAAGATTGCCTCCATGGGGAGAAAGTGTTCCTCTTAGAGAGGGACCTGAACGAAAACCCTAACCCCAAACTGTGCAGCTTTGGGCCCATCTTTATTTCCAGTGTGTTCCCTAAACAACAGTCGTATTCCTCCCATCACCGTCTCGTCGTCTGTTGCTCTGGAAGCCAGGGTGACTCCATACGTACAGGGCTGGGCTCTTTCCGATCCCACAACAGGCGGAGGGGCATGGCAGAGTCTTTGCTAACCATGATTCACCAGGGATGCCAAAGCGACTGTGCACAGAGATTCACGCTGACGCTAGCCCCCTCTGTGTGAAAGTTTTCTTCTTTAACCTAAACAAACCAGACTGAGTCATCAGGTGCCATGACATCAGTCGGTGGTTTTACTGTTGTGAATACCACGGCTTCCTGTTGTTCTCCAGTTCGATACTGCACATGAACGGGTGTCTATAGACACCCCCCAGGCCCAGCCACCTTACAGAACCTTTTGAAAGAAAAACAAGGGACGCCTGCTCGCACTGCTTCCCATCAGGGCGCTTTCTGAAATATCTGCCTCGTTGCAGCCGGAGCAAAGTCGAGGAGCAGACCGGCGTGCTGGGGGGTTTGAGGATGAAAACATGGGACTTAAGATATCCTGCCTGAAAGGTAAGCCTGAACGTCAGCCGGTGCATGTCTGCGTAGCCGGCAGCGCCCTCTCCGCTTGCTGTGTCGGGGAGAGGGAGGGTGTAATATAGCCAGCGGGGAAAGTCACTTACAGTTTCTCACCGGCGCAACCCGGGTCCCTGCCGGCTTTTTAAATAGCTCCCTGCTGGCTCTGGCCGCATCTCCACCAGCTCTTGCCATCTGCTTACTTTCATCTCTGCATGGCACTTCCCTGTTTCCCTGGGGTCTTTCCCCCCTGGGCTGGAAAAATCTCCAGCAACCTCAAAATATGTAATGGGGTGTAATTTATCTGGGGGGCACTGTGGCTCAGAGTCCACATGCGGGGTCGCTGTGGGGACAGCCAGTGCAGTCGCAGAGGACGGTGGTAGCAGTGGACAATCGGTAGCCTTCAATTTGCCCTTCCTGAGTTCCCACGACTCTGCCTCTTCCCAGAACACCCATCACGCCGGCTCCGATCCTCCATCTTTTCCATCGCTCCCGTCGGAGAGGAGGCGTGATCTGGTGGCACTCAGCTGCCTCGGTTTCCCCTCTGTAAAATGGGAGTAACAACCCGACACTAGCCTGTTTAGATGGGGAGTCCTTTGCGGCCAGGGCTGGCTTTTACTAAGTTTTCGTACAGCACCGAGCACAATGAGATGGCAGGTCTCTGCTGGAGCTTCCAGGTGCTGTTGTGACAGGGAGAATAATGATCCACTCATGCCAGCTTCCCAAGCCGGCTGGGCAGTTCTGTACAGATAGCAGGTCTTATGAAGAAGGAGCAAACATCCCACTCGCCCCTTTTTCCCCCAGAGAGACTGAATGCTGGGGTGGGACCCTCAGATGACAGCTGCCTCACAGCATGCTGCTGAAAAGGGTCTACAGAGTTGCTGTCATCCCAAGCAAACAAACCTCTGTGTGTCTCTGATTGGGAATTGCCCCATGCCTCAGTTTCCTTCCCAGCAAAAGAGCATCCCCAAGCTTGCCTCCTCCTGGCTGCAAACCGAGCAGCAATGGGGCTTACCCAGAGCTGCCCTTGGAACCACCTCCCTGCCTCTTTCTGCGGCGATTAGCATACTCGGCGCTCTTTCCGGAGGCAGAAAGGGCATATGGCATGTCTCTCATCGGAGAGGAAGCGGGGAGCTGAGGTCGAGAAGTTCACTGTTTATACGTTCGCAGCAAGTTCACAGGGTGGAGAGGTAGATACGCTGGAGGGCAGAGGTAGGGTCCAGAGTGAGCTGGACAGATTAGAGGATTGGGCCAAAAGAAATCTGATGAGGTTCAACAAGGACAAGTGTCGAGTCCTGCACTTGGGACGGAAGAATCCCAAGCATTGTTACAAGCTGGGGACCAACTGGCTAAGTAGCAGTTCTGCAGAAAAGGACCTGGGGATTACAGTGGATGAGAAGCTGGATAGGAGTCAACAGGGCGCCCTTGTAGCCAAGAGGGCTAATGGCATATGAGGTTGCATTAGGAAGAGCATCACCAGCAGATCTAGAGCAGTGATTATTCCCCTTTATTCGGCTCTGGTGAGGCCACATCTGGAGTATTGTGTCCAGTTCTGGGTCCCCCAATTACAGGAAGGATGTGGATGCATTGGAGAGGGTCCAGCGTAGGGCAACCAAACAGATTAGCGGGCTGGAGCGCATGACTTAGGAGGAGAGGCTGAGGATTTTGGGTTTGTTTAGTCTGCAAAAGCGAAGAGTGAGGGGGGATTTGAGAGCAGCCTTCAACTTCCTGAAGGGGGGTTCCAAAGAGGATGGAGAGAGGCTGTTCACAGTCGTGACAGGTGGCAGAACAAGGAGCAATGGTCTCAGGTTACAGTGGGTAGGAAAAACTATTTCCCTAGGAGGGTGGGGAAGCGCTGGGATGGGTCCCTAGGGAGGGGGTGGAATCTCCACCCCTAGAGGTTTTTAAGTCCCAGCTTGACAGAGCCCTGGCTGGGTTGATTTAGTTGGGGTTGGTCCTGCCTTGGGCAGTGGGCTGGACTCAATGACCTCCTGAGGTCTCGTCCAGCGCTAGGATTCTATGGGGGTCATAGCGGGAGTCAGCGGCCACCGGGGGATTCGAACCCAGAATTTCCCAGCCCTGTGCTCAGACCACCCGGGCCGTGGGATGTCCCACTTGGAGCTTTTGCTGCATGTCCCAGTTCCTGGAGTCCCGTGATTAGGGAAGGGTCTGAGCTTTCAAATGATAAAAAAGCAGCAAGTCCCAGCTGTTTGGGAGCAGGGAGCCATTTTGTCTGTGTCTGTGCCTGGCACAACGGGGCCCTGGGCCACGCCGAGGGCTCCTTGGAGTTACTGCAACACAAATAATGAACAACTTTCACCCTGCTGGCTTGAAAATGTGAGCCAGGGATGTTCAAAGCCCCCTTCCCCCCTCCCCTTCAAGCCTTCTGCTGCATCACTTTAGAATCTCATGATCGTTAAGCCAATCTCGGGATTTCTGGGGCAGCCTGGTGATTTTTGGCCACTCCGTGTTGGCGATGCTGGAGGTGGCCAGCTGTAACGGGGGGCAGAGGCCCAGCCCTAACTGCAGGCAGCAGATGCCTGGTGTTCATAAAGCTGTCCGGCTGGTGAGTTTTATGACTGCAGGAACCCGGGGGCGTAGGAGGCTGAAGGAAGCTGGAGGCAGCTAGTGGATTTATGTGCCCATCTCGCTAAAACCACAGCTGGCAAGAGGCCGCCGGGCTTGTCGCATGTCCTGGGGAGCTGGGAGCCAAGCAGAGAGGCCAGGCGCTGATGCGCAGACTGGCTCGGTGCCCCCCTTTCCTAGCTGAGAGGCGGGTGGATTTCCTGGGGAGGGCACAGGGCGCTCCCATAGCCGTGGTGGGGTGTGTTGGTGATTGGCAGGGCTGATGCACACACACTGCTGCTTTTGCAAATGGCCCTCTCCTCCCTCCCCCCGATAAGCTCAGCCTAGGGCTGCAAAGGGCCCCTCCCCATGGCTTCCCAGGAAAGATGGTGACTCGCTGCAGCCCTGGCAGATGGAAAGGGCCAGGGAGGTCAGCCCTAGCCAGCCCCACACTGGTGCCTGCAGGGAAAGCTTTAATGTTGCCGAGTGACTGATCAACGGGGCTTCCACCACCTCCCCAGGACAATGTTCCCCGCCGGGCTGATCCCGCTGCTAGGGCACCTGCCCACCTGCACGACTCCCTGCCGATCCCTCTCGGACCCCTCTGCGCAGCCCCTGCCCTGGCTGGGCTTCCCACCCTCTGTACAAACGGGGGCTCTCGGGGTGGCTGTGCCCCTCGCCCAGTGCACCCCGTGTCTGCACTTCCCACCAGCTCCCAGCACCCACGTGGAACATGGGGTGAGGGTTTGTTCGGGCAGCACCTCGGAGACGGCCACAGCAGCCATGACCCGAGCCCCGGGCCACAGTGGCTGGTGGCTCCGGGTGGGGGCAGCATACCACTGGGGGAATGTTCCGTGGCAGTGGATGGGGCTCAGCAGCCACCCCTACTGGCCAGCGGGTGGGGGAGTGCTTCAGCTCAGACAGACCCATATAGTCCTTCTTGGGCCAAGAGCTGGTCACCAAGATGCAGGAACAGAACTTGGGGAGAGACTCTCTCCCCACTGTCTCTGAACCAGCAGCTGCACGGGGGCTGTGCTGGGGAAGGCCTGAACCCCTTTCCGCTGGGCAAGCTTGTTTGCAAAGCAGCAGGGAGCACTCTAATGCACTCCCATGTCTCCATGAGTGCATGCTGAATATTGCATCGCCCATTAGCTTTTACGGCAGCTTGGCCCGGAGACTCGCCCAGTGCCAGGGAATGCTGTCAGAGCTAATGCAGTGCCTGGGAGCTGAGGCCTGGAAAGCTGCCGCATCGCGGGCCCAGGAGAGCTCCGTGCACAGCTGGTGTGTGCTAGACCACTGCACATAGTCTCCCAGGAAAAAGCAGGGAAAACCCGTCCCACGCCACGCCGAACGCACGGATGATTTCTCCTGTCTTCGGAGCCACTGTCAGGCTAGCAAGGTCTCCCGGCTGCCCTGCGCGAGCCAGCGTCCTGCACCTGTGCAGCGTAACCCCCTCTCGCCCTTTTGCCCCGGGGCCAGCCAGTCCTGAACCCAGCAAATGCTGAACGTGCCCACGGCGCAAGGTCACAGAGCCCAGATGTGGAGTCGGAGCCAGCTTGGAACGATCCCAGCATTTGCAGGGTTTCCGTGTGGTTTTTCCATGAGGCTTTTTACAGAGCTGGGCCCTGATCGCACAGGTACAGACTAAGCATCCTGCCACGGCGTCCCTCTCTCGGCTGCGACGCGCTCGGCGCTCTCAAGCGATGGATCCAGGGCACGCGCTCACTCCCTGCATTCCCAGCGGGGGCCGCTCCTGGCAGAATTCCCACCTCCCTTGCGCAAACCCAGGGAGAAGCTGCCCTCACATCCAGGGAACCCTAGAAACTCAAGCCCCTTGGAACATCAAGCCCACCTCCTCCAGCTCAGGACCGGCTGCAGCGAACATCCTCTAGTACAGGGGTGGGAGACCTCAGGCCCGGGGGCTGGCTTGCCTGGATCCGGCCTCTGAGCTCAGAGCCCCCCCAGCATTGGGGAGCCTGTGCTGGTTCTCCAGCCCCCCGCTACTCCACCGCAGGACTGGAGCACACCAAAATCTACTAGGCTGGGTCCCTCTAGGCTCTGGTGCGGGAGGGGAAGGTGGGGAGCATCTTTCTCCTCACTCGGGGGCCACACCAGCGAGGGCTTTTTTGCTTCTCACTTGTGTGCAGCCCCCATCTGATTTTTCTGTGGGTCCGCGGTTTGTCGTTTCCCCAGACACTCACCAACCTGGAGTCCCATTTCCCCATTCTTTGGGGAAGTCTGGGTCCCACCGCTCTGGCGTTAAGCCCAGCAGGAGGGACATTTGAAATACAGTCCTAATTCCTAGCCCAGAAATGCCACGGGGGGTTGGAATCTGAGCTGAGATCCAGCGCTGGGCATTGCAGCTGGTCCCTGGCTAAGGGGACGTCTATGTTGCAAAGACACCCGCGCCCCCTTTAATCCAGCTAGCTCAG